GATTGTTTCCTTAGGACAAATTCCCAGAAAGAGGAAGTGCTCAAGCAAAGCATAGCTACATTCTGAGGCCGGAATTGTGTTTGGACTGGGGAGCTCAGGGGTTAGGAAAGTGCATAAACAATAACAAATTATAAACAACCTAAATGTCCAAGAGTAGGGGGACACGGAGGGCACCTCACAGCCAGCGCACAGCAAGGACGGGGACGTGTCCGAGAGGGGCAAGGCAAAGATTGCAAAAAGGAAACATTGGGATATTAGCCCCAGTTTTATTTAAGAAGGAAAGCGTTGGGGGATTACAGGTAGTTATTTATATATTCTTTATAAACTGTAGAGAAATAGACACAAACTGCTAATAGAAGGACTGGGTTTCCCCTTTCCATGGTTTACGCGTTCTATATTTCTGTGGTATTTGAACGGCTCAAGGGACGCACTATCAGATTTTTCAGGTAAAGAACAAGGAAGGGCCCCCGGGCTGGGGCTCATACCCCTCCTGGGGACCAGGCAGGGCCAGGCCCACACGCTCCCCTCTCCCTCCTCAGGCCCAGATGATCTTCCTCAACTGCGGCCACGTCTGCTGCTGCCAGCAGTGCTGCCAGCCTCTGCGCACCTGCCCGCTGTGCCGCCAGCCCATCGCCCAGTGCCTCCGGATCTACCACAGCAGCTGAGTGTCGCCGGCCCCTCGCACCCTGTCCTCTGGCCCTGCCTCGGCCCCTGCAGGTCCCAGGCACCCACTCACCCGACTTTGGCCAGACGAGTACAAGGCCGCCCTGCCCTGGGCCCTTTCCCCACAGCCCAGAAACCCACCTGGAGCTCCAAGCACGCCTCCGCCAGGTGGGGGCACCCCGACCTGTGGGGTGGCTGGTCTGAGTACTGTGGGCCAGAGAGGCGGAGCGAGGGCAGCTGTGCCACCCCCAGCTCTCTGACCATGGGCAGGGAGGAGCTTGGGGTCCTCACCTGTGGAGCATGCACGATGCCGCCCACTCTGCACGTGGAGGGCAAGCAGGAGGGCCTTGGCTGGGCATGAGAGGTGGCCAGAGGCCATCGGGCGTCCTGGGAAGGTGTGCAGGGCAGGCCTTTCTCACAAGCCCCACTGGGACCCCTCTCTGCTGCTCCCCAGTGCTCTGGGCCCTTCCTGCTCCCCACAGCTGCGCCATCCCTGCCACCCCACACAACTGACCCAAAGCAGGAACATCAAGTCAATAAATCCATCTCAGCGTCTCCTTCAGAGTCGTCTCCTTCAGAGTTGTCACCAGGTCATCACCAGGTCGTCATGGGAGCCCGGGCGGGGAGGGGCTGGGGTGGAGGGCAGCCTTCTGGGGAAAGGGGCCAGGAGTGTGCTGCACCTCAAAGGAGAGGGCAGGGCTAGAGCTGATCCCAGATGAGTGTCAAGTTAGCCAAGCTCCCCTCTCCTCAGGGAGAGAGACCAGGGCCCAGAGCAGAGAATGGCACCTAGAGCCAAGTGATGGCAGCCCCTGTCCATGGGCAGGAGGCCCTACGGCCCAGGCTGTGTGCCCCATGTATGGGCATTATCCCAGAAGCCTTGGGGCCCAGTTGGGGCCTTGCAACTGGGTTTGGGGCCCAGAAGCATCCTAACTTTTGAGTCCATGCAGCCTTGCAGGTTGTCCATTGCACAATTCCAGGAGCCAGGCACACACTCTTGCGTAAAGGTGCATGTTGATTTACCCGTTTATGGTGGATGGTTTTGAGCCAAGGGAGCTTCTTTGGGCTGGTGTAAGACTTGCTCAGGGCGTGTAGCTCTGCCTCCAGTCATTCAGTGACCTGCAGACTTTGGCCTTGGTTTCCCATTCTTTGACACAGGAACCATGGGCGGGGGGGGGGGGGGGGGCTCCCTGACTCAGGTGGTGGCCTGCAGGGGGCGCTGAGGTGCAGCATCGCAAGAGCGAGTGGCAAAGCCAGCTTGCTGGGACCATCTTCACGCAGGCACTGCTGCAGGGCCCGATGCTTGCTTCTTAGGGCAGAGCTGTGCCTCTTCCTGTGCAGACCAAATTAGGTCCTGTCCCCATTAGAAACCCCACAAGCACGACACCGGTGTTTGGAGATACAGAAAGGTTTATTTGATTTGGGCCAAGCAAAAAGATGGGAGAGTAAATTTCTCAGATCCGTCCAAGAAGAGGAGGTGGAGAACTTTCGTGGCCAGGCGTGAGACGAGTGTGTGGCTGGGCTGGAAAGGGAGGGAGTTTCAGGACCCAAGGGCCGTGTGTCGTCAGTCTCAGTTACACCTGGAGTAATCAGACTCTGGGTGTCAGCATCACTTGCAATTTTTAAAGGGCTTTTTTTTTTTTTTTGTGCAAATGATTTTTCTTGTGACCCTCTTTCTGCTTGATAAGGAATAGTGTATCGCAGTAATATATTATCTGTGAGAACAGCAGGTGCTGGACAGGAAGCTAGCGGTTAAACATGTTCGTGTTAAGTCAAGTTATATTATTCGTCATATTTACTAAGAGTATTACATTTTATAATACATTAAGAATGACATACTAGTATTCAAGGGGCTGGCTATATTCATGTTTCTCCTGGGATCTGATTGTTTCCTCCCTCAATACCCTCCATGGCTCAGCTTGGCAAGAGGAGAGACCAGCTGTGGCAGAGGGCTACTTTGGGAGCAGTGTTTTAGGTCCCCAACTTCCTCACTAGGACCAGGGATCAAGGACCGTACATTTTCCCTCTGAAGAGTGGAGCTGTTAAGTTAACTGGCCCCGGGCAACGCGTAGCGCAGGTAGGTGCACCTGGCTCTGGCCCCTCATGGCCGGTCTCACCCAGCCCTGTTGATCTAAGGTAGGCTCAGCCAATGCTCTCGCCACACAGAACCAGCTGGCACTGGGGAAGCCCACACCCCAAGGTCACGCTGCCTTCCCACCCAATAGGGACATGTTTTTTATCTCTACTGGTGGGGGCAATCCACCCCCCTCTAGCTAAGGGTTACTGGGTTCCTATGCCACCCAAACCTCAGCTCATGGTTCACCACCCTCCTGGGCCTCAGTGTATACACGATATGGTGGCGATGACAGCACCTTTCTAGAGCCTGTGGTCCTGGTCCGCACATAACAGGCCTATAAATGCTAGTGATGATCAGATCTCTGAAAGCACGATAGCGGCGCCATCTAGACTTGCAGGCGTGCCGAGGAGCACTCTGCAGTCTGGCGAGGGAAGCCGTCAGAAGGCTGTCACCATGGACAAATCCTTCTCTCTGAGCCTCAGTTTCCTCCTCTGAAACTGGGAATGTTACAAGAACTCGGACATGGACCTACAGGTAACTCAGGCAGCTGATGAGCCCAGAAAGCCAGCTATAAGGGCCTGGACACATCCCCGCCCAAACTCCCACCAACCCGATACCCTCGCACCACACATGGCAATAGCTTTAAATAAAGCAATTTATTGATTAGTAGGAAGCATAATATTTTCAATACAATATCTGAAGGATGATTGGAAACCCCGAAGGCACTAGGGCATCCGACACTGTCGTAGGAGAGGTATGTGACACGGCTGGACTGGGGCTGGGGGTCCTGAGCACCAGCCGTTGCTGCATGTCCTGTGGGGCTAAGGCCCACCGTGGAGCGTAGGTCTGGGGACAGAGGATGCAGGGTGAGGAAGGGACCCACCCCAGACCTTGAAGGAGTCAGCTTCTGTTCCCCCACCCCCACAGCAGCAGGAGGCCTGGGGTGGCTGCGAGCTGGGGCGCCTTGGCTTGACCCTACCCCCCCCAGGAACAGGGAGGTATGAAAGAGATGATGGCTGGGCCAAAGTGACTCCCAGGACATCTGAAGCGGGGCCTGGAGTTTTTTTGTTTTGTTTTTTGAGACAGAGTCTCGCTGTGTTGCTCAGGCTAGAATGAGTGCTGTGGCGTCAGCCTAGCTCACAGAAACCTCAAATCCTGGGCCAAGCAATCCTGCGCCTCAGCCTCCCAAGTAGCTGGGACTACAGGCATGCGCCACCATGCCGGCTAATTTTCTATATGTATTAGTTGGCCAATTCAATTCTATTTATAGTAGAGACGGGGTCTCGCTCTTGCTCAGGCTGGTTTCGAACTCCTGACCTTGAGCAATCCGCTTGCCTCGGCCTCCCAGAGTGCTAGTATTACAGGCATGAGCCACCGCGCCGGGCCCTGGGGCCTGGAGTTTTCAGAGGGAAGTGACCTAGTGACTCAGAGGCAGCAGAAGCCAAGCCACAGCCCAACCCCGAATCCTCCCAGGGGGCCACAGTCCCTCCCTCTGCCCTTCAGGAGCCGCCTCTGGGGGGGGTGGGGGGGGTTGTCAGTGAGTACCTCAGAGGTGGCCCTGAGGACAGAACCACACCCCCTAACGCCCTGCCTCCTGTTCCAGCCCAAAGCACGAGTGTGGGCACAAGAGGGCCGGGTGCAGAGGTCATAAAGGCCTGCGGGGCCCAGGCAACTTAGGGAGAGATGGGGTGCAGGGGGGCTCTCAGCCCACCGTGTCGCCTCACCCACTCACCCCCAGCACCTCCCAGAGGTCAGCTCCCTCCTTCCCTCGGGACACTTCCCCTCCACACACCAGCACATTCCGGGCCTTTCTCATTTCATCCCAGGCCCCTTGCCCACCCCCCTCTGAGAGGTGACCCTTATCACCCATCAGTCCCCTGGCACACCCAGGCTGGCCATCCCTTCCTTCCATCTCCCCTCCTCCACACAGGGGAACACAAGGCTCGAGGCCACTATGAGGCCAGGGAGGGGCAGGGCCCCAGACTCCATCGTCCTCGTCCCAGTGAGCCCCTTGGTGAGACGGGAGGGATTCGCTGGCTTCATAGCACATGATGCTTTTTTTTAGACAGGGTCTCACTCCCAAGCTTGAGTACAGTGGCACCATCATAGCTCACTGCAACCTCAAACTCCCGAACTCAAGCAATCCTCCTGTCTCAACCTCCCAAATAGCCCTGAACTCCTGGCCTCAAGTGACCCTTCCACCTTGGCCTCCCAAAGTGCTCGAATTACAGGTGTGAGCCACCACACCCGGCCTACGCATGATGCTTTTATCTCCCTCTCTCCAAGAAGGATGGCAGGACCCATGAGGGAAACAGAGGCCACAGACAAATGGCAGGAAGGGCAGAGCTCCCAGCCCCCTTCAGCTGTGTCCAGCCCCAGCACAAGGAGGAAAGCCCCGAAACCAGCCCCTGCATCCGAGATCATCCCACAGAAGAGAAAACAGGGAGCAATAAAGTATTGACCAAACTCGATAAAGTGACTCTGGTGGGCCTGTCCCTGCCCAACCCCTGGAGGTGCCGCACCAGCCCCTGCCCACCTCCAGCCACAAGGCACAGACTGGGGTGCCCCCTCCCTGGAGCCCAGCCTGCCTGTGCCTTGGGAGCGTCCTGCGTGCCGCGTCCAGCAGAAGCACGGGGACTGGCCGGCCTAGAACTCCGTCTGCACCCCCGCGCTGTCCTCGGTGGTAATGTGGATGGGGGCACGGCCGCCGGGGCTGGACACCTGCTCCCCGGTCTCCTGGTCACTGGGCTTGGGGGGCTCAAGGTCCACAGCCTTTCCAGGGGGGAGGTGCTGGGGCGAGGTGGGCGGTGAGGTGGCCTCGGGGGCTGCCAAGGGCGGGGGGCTCTCCTGGGCAGGGGCCCCGTTAAGCAGGGGGCTGGCCGGCGGGGGGCTCTCAGCCCGCAGATCCTGAGCCAGCAGGCCACGGAGCTCAGTGACACTGTCTGGGGATGCAGGGGATGGTGGCTCAGGGGCAGCCTCGAAGGACAGCCCTGCCTCCTCATCCTGGACCACGGAGACCACCTGCTTGGCACGCCGCCACTTTTCCGAGAGGGTGGCTGCTTCTGGGGGGCTGGGGCTGCTGCCGCCCCCACCGCTGCTGCCGTCACCATACTCTTCGCCCCAGTCGATGGGCGCGCCCTCGGCCAGCAGGTGCAGGTTGGGGTCGCTGTTGTGCATGACCACGCTGTCCCGGTACAGGTTGTGTTTCCTCTGCACCGCAGCCTCCTTCACGGCTGTGGGGCCACAGGGGAGGGGCGGGACGTTCAGTTTGGGCACCACGCCTGTGCCCAGAGGGGCCCACCTCCCCGCCCCCCGTGGGTGTCTGTGACCGGGACGTGCGTGACTCATTGCAGGCCTCACTGCTCAAAGTAGCAGGGCTGTGATGCTGTGTCATCTGGTCTCTCAGATGACCCTCCCTGCAAAGGCACAGAGCTGCAAGGCCACCCTCCTGGGGCCACACAGCTAATGGGGTCGGCCCAGCCCCTGGGTGTACGTCTCGGGCCTTTCATTCCACCTCTGCTGACCCCCAGCCACCCGCCCACCTCCTCCTGACGGCAATGATCCCACAGTGGCGGCAGCAGGAGTGGGTTAGGGCTGGGGCTAGGGCTAGGGCTGGACACCCCGCCGGCGCTCACCCTGCAGGATCTCCTTCACAACAGTCTGCAGCACCACCTCCTCGTACGTGTTCTCCACCAGGAGGAACCTGGCGAAGTCCTCAAAGATCAGCTCCTGGAACCGAGGCAGCTCCTGCCCAGGCGGGACAGCAGAGAGGGGAGGTCAGGGCCGGGGGCAGAGAGAGGGTCGGTGGGCCCCACCCCCACCCGGCCCGAGGGGCTGGAGCCAGGTGGGCGCACCGACTTGCAGGTGGGGGCCAGCTTCTTGAGCAGGAAGGGGATGGTGATCTGCAGAAGCGCCTCCCGGAAGAACCTCTTCCGCACGGTGCTGCTGTCGTAGTCGTATTTCTGCAGGGAAGGAGGGGGCGGGGTCTTGAGGTCAGTGGGCTCCACCAGCCCTGGCGGGAGGACGGAGGCCAGTGGGCTGACCTCAGAGTTCTCCTCCGCACAAGGGGACCAGTGGCACCTCCTCATGGGGGCAGCAGTCCTAGTGGTGGCCAGGGATTAGGCTCAGGGCTTGGCCACACCCAGGGGGGCGGGGACAATCACCTTTAGCACGCGCTCCAGGATGCGCTGGATGGACGTGCACAGCTCCTCCTTGGTGGGCCCCTTTCCCAGCTCCTGGTGCAGGAGGGTCTCGAAGGTGTACACGGCATTGTCCATTTGCTGCAGGGCACACCAAGGGGCACATGAAGCCCCTTCCTTGGTGCCGAGGGGTCCTTAGCCAACACCCCCCCAAGGCCTGCCAGGGAGGAGCGGGGAGCAGTCTGTGCTCACTTGTTCACCCACCCACATGTTTACTGAGTGTCCGCCATGTGCCTGGCACAGTGCTGGGCACAGGGCAGTCCTGCCTCAAGGGACCAGGAAAGGGCTTGGGGTAGCAAAGAGCTTCCCAGAGGAAGGAGCCTCTAAGCGGAGACCTGAGAAGTGAGCAGAGCAGGACCGAGCATGCAGGGGAGCGTGGCTGCGGCGTGGCAGGTGCTGGGCCCGTGGCAGGCATCGAGCAGGGCTGGGGTGCGGGCAGCAGCCTCAGACCCACCTCCCGCATGTGGATCTGGGCTCGCTGCTTGAACACGGACGTGCTGGACACGTCGAAGCGCTGCTGCAGCCCGTCCAACCGTAGCGGCTCCATCTTCTCGTAGCAGCTCTGCATCTTCAGGGGGTGGTACGCCAGCTGGGACAGCTTCTCCATGTACTGCAGGGAGGCGGGGCTGTGTGGGCCGGAGCCGGGCCGCCCGAGTGGCCACGCAGCCCCCCACACCCACTCTCTGCCTGGGCCTTCGGAGCCCAGGCCCTGCAGCTGGCACTAGCTACCAGGGAGGCCACTGGGGGTTGTGCCCACACAGGGAGGCCTGGCAGGGCCAGGACAGAGGAGGAGGGAGGCAGGGGAGCATGCCCAACAGCACAGTGCTGTGGACAGGCCAGCCTGGGTGCCAGGAGAAAGTTCTCTTCCCTTCTGGGGTGCTGGATGACCTTGGGCAAGTCTTCACCCTCTCGGAGCCTCAGTTTCCTCAGCCTCAAAATTGGGAAGTGGCTTTTTGTGCTCTCTAATCTCATAGTTATTGTTGTCCATGGACTCCCAAATTTGGAGTGTAGAGTAGGATGCTTAGATGCAGGAAAATTCTATCCACACCTGACAACTGTGTGGGGTCCAGGCAACCAACTACCCCAAAACGGGGCCTGTGGAAGGACATTCACCCCGAGAGCCAGAGAAATGGGGGCAAGTGAGAGGGGCCGTCTCTGTGTGGAGGGCGTGTGGCAGTGTCACTCACAGCTGAAGCTTGCCTTCCCCTCCCTCCGTCTTCTCAGTTAAATTATTTAATGTTTTAGCACCTTATAAAGGTAGATGGGGGTTAATGTTCCCTCCTTCCTCTAACTGCTGACCACCTCCCCCTAGAACTTCAGACAGCTTTGGCCTCTGCCCTGGGAGGGGAGCGGCTGCCCCGAGTCCCACGGCAAGAGGCCCGGCCTTCGCCTCCGAGGGGTGACACGGCCTCACCTCGCCCAGCTTGTCGATGCCGCCCTCGTTGATGACGTTGAGGTTCATGTCGGTGACCTCCTTGAAGAAGACGTCCCGCACCTCGGTGAAGCCCTGGCTGGTGGGCACCATCAGCGCCTCCAGGATGGACGGGATGTAGGGCTGGACGTGGTTCCGCACGCACACCTCCGCCTTGGGCAGGATGAAGCCTGCGCCCGGGGAAAGGTCAGGGCGCTCCCCGGGCACCTCCCCGCCACCCCAGAGCCCGGACGCTGGAGCATGCTGTCCTATTACTCTTAAAAACCACTGCCAGCGGCGGTGGCAACATTAGCAAGCTGAATAACTCCAGAGGAACAGCTGGTAGCGAGGATAAGTCCATGGGGTAAAAACAGCAGAGTGTTCTAAGACTGAAACTGTGACAGCAAGAAACTAAGAAAACTGATAGTCCAAAAGCGACAGCAGTTTTCTGCTTAGCTAGAGGTAGAGAAAAAACTCATTTGGGGGAGTCTTGAACAACAACAACAAAAAAAACCCCAAAAAACGCTTTAGTAGATTCAATGAACTTCTCAGTTTTATAAAAACCCATTCATTCCTGCTCTGGAGTGCTGTGGCCTGGCGCTGCGTGATTGTGTGAAAGGCTCTCTCCTGGTGGGCAGGGGCCAACTCCAGCACATTCTCACCAGTGCCTCTCCACCCAGGGGCGTTTTGGCACGCACCCCCACCCCTGCACAGTGTGTTCCACAGAATAAACGTCAGCTCTCAGTGTCCTCTCCAGCTCCTAAGGAATAGCTGGTAAGTGTCACCCGCAGGGAAGTGACAACTGCTAAAATTGCGCTCGGCGGATGTGTCATGGGGGACAAACCCATCTGCCTGGGAACGGAGGAGCATAATAACTGACCTGGGAGAGTTACACTTGCTGGAAATGAATCAGAGCTAAACCGATGTCCACTAATGTGACGTGCGGCAAAATCTGTGCTGCATCAAAGATGACCAGGAGGCTTAAGCCTCTCCTGGATAAGAATTTTGATCTTGGCCGGACACAGTAGCTCACGCCTGTAATCCTAGCACTTTGGGGGGGCCGAGGAGGAAGGATCCCTTGAGGCCTAGAGTTGGATACCAACCTGGGCAACACAGACCTTATTTCTACAAAAAGTAATTTAAAAAATAGCCGGGCATGGTGGCATACTCCTCCATCACCAGGTTGCTCGGGATCTAGCCACTCAGGAGGCTGAGGCAGGAGGATCACTCGAGCCCAGGAGTTGGAGGCTGCAGTGAGCTGTGATCACACCACTGCACTCCAGCCTGGGTGACAGAGTGAGACCTTTTCTCTTTTAAAGAAAAAAAAAAGTCGATCGATCTTCAAGAAATAATAACCACAAAACAACTCAAGGAGCTGTTTGGAGTAACAAAAACATAGACTGGATTCTGATTTTTTTTTTTCTTCCAAGAACAGAGTCTCACTCTGTTGTCCAGGCTAGAGTGCCATGGCGTCAGCCTTATTCGCAGCAACCTCCAACTCCTAGGCTTAAGCAATCCTCCTGCCTCAGCCTCCCGAGTAGCTGGGACTACAGGCATGCGCCACCATGCTCAGCTAATTTATATATATATTCTTAGTTGACCAATTAATTTCTTTTTATTTTTAATAGAGACGGGGTCTCGCTCTTGCTCAGGCTGGTTTCAAACTCCTGACCTTGAGTGATCCTCCTACCTCAGCCTCCCAGAGTGCTAGGATTACAGGCGTGAGCCACAGCGCCTGGCCTGGATTCTGATTTTTAAAAACTATCAATGAGCAAGTCAATGCTGTGAAATATACTTGGATCATGAAATAAGGAGGAAGTTCACCGTGACCCCTGGAGAGCCCATGGTCTGGGCACCGTCAGGCCCAGTAGGGACACAGGTGTGGCGAGTGGACTGCCTACCTCGGATCTTACTGGCCAGGTGCTCCTTGGAGGTGATGATCTGGTCCATGTCTGTGCGGATGACGGCCTCCATGGCTGGCCGGGCCAGCTGCAGCTTGGATAGCACCTCCTCGAAGCTGGCCTTGGCCTGCTCGTACACCATGCGGTACACGGCGTCTGAGATCTGCACGCAGGGGGGCAGCGTCAGCACCAGGGCTCAGGGCACCAGGCCAGGTGCAGACTCCGGTCCCCACTCCAGGGTCCCAGGCACACCCACCTGGATCCACTGGCGCTGCCGCTCCTGCGGTTTCCCCTTCAGCCGGGGGGCGAGCTCTGCCTTCAGCTCAGGGCTCAGCTCCTCCATCACCAGGTTGCTGAGGATCTGGGTCGGGAGGCACAAGCCAGGGGAGGGTTGGAGCTTGTCCGGCTGGCACCTTTCTCTCCACGTTCCAGCAAACCTGGCCCCTCCACCCCCCACATGGGCTTGGCCCTTTGCTGCACGCCTCCACTGTCGTCCCCGCAGGTCCCAGACACATCTGCTCGGGTGTCCTATAGGACCCTCAGACTCGGGGACCCACCTCAGGGCCTTTGCGCACGCTGCCACCCCTGCCTGGAATACTGCAATCCCTCCCCGCTCTGCCTGCACGTGGAAGTGCGTGTTTATTTGCTGAATGTCCAATTATCCTGCTAGACAGAGAGCTCCCAGCGGGCCAGTGCTGTGTCCACACTGTTCAGAGCTGCGCCCCGGCCCCTAGCCCAGGGTAGGTGCTCTGTAAGTGGTTAAACGACATAACAAGTATCTCTACTTGCATCGGCCCCCACTTGCCGAAATCTGAGCTCATCTCCTTCCAAAGATGCAGTGCTCCAGAGCCTCATCTCTGTACCCAGCCCCCTACTCTGTGGGGCCCTGGGGTGACTCCCAAGGTCCCCCCCCACCAGTGCACCTGGCCTCACCTGCACCTCGTTCCCGCACAGCATCTCCCAGGTGCCGTACAGCTCCTTCGACTGGCGGTACATGCGGATGGCGTCCGTGAACGCAGGGCCCTCCACCTTGGAGTCCTCGGGGATCCCTGCGCAGGAGAGGGACAGAGGGGAGGTCAGCACGGTGGCCCAGTGGCCTCTTCCAAGACCAACCGACTGACCAGATCCCTCCCCACACACACAGAAGGAGGGGCAGTTGTGACCCCTGCTGCCCCCACAGTGGTCACAGCAGTGGCTGTAGCGATAGAGTGATAATGACTCCAACAGCAACAGGGCCACCCCCGGGCCACGTCCTTATCCCCTTAAATCCTCCCAACCACCCCAGACCTGGTGCCATCATTGACCTACTTCGCAAGTGAACAAACCAACTAGAGGTCAGGGCACTGGCCTAGAGTCTCGAGAACAGTAAGTGGTCACCCAGGATGGCTCTAAAGGCACCCAGAGACCCTTGCGTGACCCCTGGTCCCTCCCTTGCTGCTGGGTCGGGGCTCTGCAAACTGCCTGCAACCGGCCCGGCAGCACAGTCTCAGCTTTGCAGCCAGGCGACCTGTGCTCTCAGCTCCGCCGTCACGGCACGGGCGCGGCCACAGATGCCGGCGAGCATGTGCGCGTGCTCCACTCTGCTCCACTGCATCGATCAGAGGCAATGGCTGCATTTGACCCGTGGGCCACAGATTGCCGAGCCTAGTTCTAGATCACTGAACCCAAAAGGGCCTCAGTTTCCTCTTCTGAACAGCAGGAACAATGCCACTGGCCCGTCCTCACACGTCCCCTGGGGAACTCCACAGGCCACGGCAAACCGTGGAGTCCAAGCGGGGCCGGGCCCAGCCCAGCACTGCCCCAAGTGGCACCTCTCAGGGGCTGGCAAGCCGCTCACCACCTGCCAGGCCTGGGTCTGTCTCGCTCCCTCCCCTCGGAGCGCCCAGGTCGGCACCTGGCACAGGTGCTAAAGAGCTTTATCGAAGAATACATGGAAGGGTCTCCTACTGATGCCTAGAAAACCATTATTTGGATATTTTCATTATTGTTGATGCTGTCAGTGGCCCAGATGCCAACCAGGTGGGTCAGCGGTCGAGGCAGGGACCCCCAGACCGGATGTGGGAGCCACGCGTGGCAGGAAGTCGAAGCATCCGACTGGGGGAGCGTGTGGCTGGGCGCCGCTGAGCCAGGCGGCAGGTGGGCTGCTCCCTGGCCGCGGCCTCTGACCGCGCTCTGTCCCCAGCGCCCAGGGAAGGGGAACTGGCAGCCTGTGCATCAGAGACCGGCTCCCACTGCGATGACTGTGGCTGAGTCACCCCACAGAGAAAAAGCCCCTCTCGGGCATGGCAGGAACCCTCCCGCCCCAGCCGACCGCAGGAACCACTGCCTGTCGGAGCCAGCGGGGAGCTCCGTGGGGGGAAATTGAGGCCCAGCACCCATCCCTGCAGTGGCGGCAGCCTGGACGGGGGCGGGGCCGGAGGGGAGGCTGGCCCCAGCACTTCAGGGACCCGAGGTCAGGCAGGAGCGACAGGAGTGGAGCCTCTGGGCGGGGCCTGCCCACCTGGCCAGGGGAGGACACTCCCGCCGGGCGCTCAGGAGGCACAGTCTCCTGGAGACCGAGTTTTGCCTGGAAAATCCGGGCAGCGCGTTACACGCGGGCTGTCCCCGGGGGCTGGGGAGAATTTACATTCCGCACACGCCGATCGGGGTGCCGGGCGAGCCGCGTCCCAGGTGGCAGGGCTGCCAGGCAGCGGAGGGCGGCTGCCGTGCCTGGGCCTGGCTCCGACCGTGCAGCCTCGACTCGAGGGCTCGCTCCTTCCGCACACCCAGCTGCTGGGTTCGGCAAGTTTGGGGGTCGCCCCTCCTGAGTCTTCCCATGTGCCCCCGCCCCCAAATTCCTAGCTTGCAGTTCTAACCTGTAGTGCCGCAGAACATGGCTGTGTTTGGACAGCACAGTCTTATAAAAAGTTAAATTGAGGGGATTAGGGCGGGCCAGAGTCCAATACGGCTGGTGTCCTTAAAAGAAGAAGAAATTTCTTCCTAAAAGGAGAGAGAACGTGGCACACAGGGGGATGCCACAGGGAGGAGACAGCAGCCGTTTTTGCACACCAAGGACAGCGGCCTCAGGAGAAGCCGGCCCTGTGACAGACACCCTGACTCAGACTTTAGCTTCCAGACCAAGAAAATAAACTTCTGTGCGAGCCCCTGGCCTCTGGCATTTTGTCACGGCAGCCTGGGAAACTGAGACGCCAGCTCACTTAATCCTCGGCGCCCTGTGACGGAGGGGGTTCCAGCCCCATGTCCCCGGTGAAGACCGTTGCAGCTCAGAGAGGCAAAGTCACAAGACGCGCAGTGAGGGACTGGCAGGACCCGAGCTCAGTGAGCTCAGTGGAGGGACCAAGCGCAGTGAGGGACTGGCAGGACCCGAGCTCAAACCCAGCACCGGAGACTCTAGCCAGACCTGAGCCTTCCTGAGAAAGGAAACTGCATTCCTCAGCCCTGGGCAGCAGGCAGAGGGGCCACGGTCAGGCAGGAAGGGGCCCTGACCTCTGCCCCCGCCCACACCCGTGCCCGGCTGCCTCCTGCCACCTCCAGCTGCTCCAGGAATGCAGGATGCGAGGGGGCCGGGGACAGCTGGCGTCCACCCAGCTGGCCTCCGTCCCCACCCGCCCCCCACTTCCTGGCAGCCCCTGGAGTGAGCAATTCCAGGCTGCACAAATCCCAGGCCCGGCCTCTGAGACGCAGGAAGCAGAGAACTTTCTCACAGTCCTCAGGGCGGAGGAAAGGCTCCATCTAAAACCTGCCTCCTCCGCCCAGCCCTGGGGCGAGGGTGCCGCCACGGGACGCCTTCCTTCCCCGGTCCAAAGCTCTCCTGGGCCGGCCTCCTGCCACAGCACCCCGGACGCCAGGGCCCCCCCCCCAGCCTCGGCCTGAGCGCCCACTACGCGCCAGGCACAGCCGAGAGCTCTACCCGGACCGGCCTCTTTGCTGCTCCCAGTCGTCTCTGGAGCGAGTGCATCGCCACCCTCCCTGCACACAGGGGGCCCAGTGGTGGGTCTCCCCACCTTGCTCCGTGCCCACCCTTTACCCCACCTGAGCCCGCCAGGCCAGGGCAGCCATGAGCCCGAGGGACAGTGCTGGGCCAGGGGCTGGGAGAGGGGACGGGTGCTCCAGGCCAGGCAGCCAGAGCCCTGAGTGCCCCTGCCTGGCACAGCCCAACAGCCCCCAGGGACCTGGGAACAGGAGGCCCTTTGTGGGCCGCAGGGCCCTGCCCAGGTAGCAAGGGTTGGCCTGACTTGAGACCTGGTTCCTCCTGCCTGGCAGATTCCAGACGGGGCAGAGGTGTCCCTTGAGGGTTGAGCAGGAGGGGTGGGGTGAGCCAAGTCCCTGCAGTGGTGGCCAGGAGGCCATTAGTGTCTACTCTGTCCCTCTGCCTCCACCACGGTGTGGAGCTGTGCCCACGGGTGGGGTGGGGCAGGTCCTTCCCAAGGCCAGATGACCAGGAAGAGCTGGGGTCCAGGACAGAGTTGTCCCCGCTGCAAAGGCAGAAAGACCCTCAATGCCCCACCCTCAGCTGTGGAGATAATCCTAATCCCATGCCTTCTGATCCGACTCCAAGGAGCCCTGTGAGGTTCCCTTACGTTCCTGGGCCCCTCCACCTGCCTCAGGGCCTGGGCAGCTCATCCTCTGGGCCATCTACCATCCCGGGGCTTGGGGCTTCCCTTCAGCCTGGGGACCTCCCTTCACGCTGGCCACTGCCTCTGTCTGGAACACTCTCCTCTCCAGGCCTGTTCCTCCTTCAGCTCTCAGCTGAACCATCACCTCCCTCCAGGGAGCCTGCCCTGATTGACCCCTCACCAACACATGTGCACCCTAAAGGCTCCCCAAGTGGGTGGCTCCCACCCAGCACCCTGTGACTCAGCACCCTGCATCCTCATCTGCTCAGCACCCGTCTCCCACCCCAGACTGCTGGCTGCATGAGGGCAGGGACAGGCCCTGCTCCCTTGCAGCATCCTCAGGTCTGCGCCTGTGTTAGAGTAGACACGAATAAGCTGGAAGAGCCACCACACAAGTTTACAGAGGAGAACAATGAGGCCCTGAGGGAGGAAGAGAAGTTCCCAGATCTCCCAGCATGTGGGTGGCAAAGAAAGAAATAATAAAATTTTTTAGGCCAGGCGCGGTGGCTCATGCCTGTAATCCTAGCACTCTGGGAGGCCAAAGCAGGCAGATTGCTTGAGGTCAGGGGTTCGAAACCAGCCTGAGCAAGAGCGAGACCCCGTCTCTACTATACCTACAAAGAAATTAATTGGCCAACTAATATATATATATATATATAAATTAGCCGGGCATGGTGGGCATGCCTGTAGTCCCAGCTACTCGGAGGCTGAGGCAGGAGGATCAATTGAGCCCAGGAGTTTGAGGTTGCTGTGAGCTAGGCTGATGCCACGGCACTCACTCTAGCCTGGGCAACAAAGCGAGACTCTGTCTCAAAAAATAAAAATAAAAAAATAAATTTTTTAAAAAAACTGGGCTGGGTGTGGTGGCTCCTCCCTGTAATCCTAGCACTGTGAGAGGCTGAGGTGAGAGGATCACTTGGGGTCAGGAGTTCAAGACCAGCCTGAACAAGAGCGAGACTTGTCTCTACTAAAAATAGAAAAATTAGCCAGGAACAGTGGCGCATGCCTGTAGTCTCAGCTACTCAGGAGGCTGAGGCCAGAGGATCGCTTGAGCCCAGGAGTTTGAGGCTGCGGTGAGCTATGGTGACACCACTGCACTCTATCTGGAGTGACAGAGCAAGACTCTGTCTCAAAACAAATAAAAAAAACAGCAAGCATGGAGTAGACTGTGAATCCTCACAAACCCCCTAATACACATGAGATTATCCCCATTTTACAGAGGCTCCCAGGGGTCAGTCAGTCTCCTACGGTCATATTGCCAGGAAGTGGCAGAATCAGGATTGCGATTTCGTAATCTAGTGTTCAAGAGCTCAACAACCACACCTCCTGTGAACAATTTCCTAATTTTCTCCTGAGCAACACAGAACCGTTTCCACAGAGGAAGACGATCAAGGGTGTCACGACAACGGTTTCTTGCAACCCCAGAAGGAAAATCACAACAGCTCATAGAGCAGGGCTGCCACACCACACTCGGCCACTAGGTGTCCCAATCCGGCACACAGCCCAGACGCCGCCCCTCCGCGGCCCGCGCTCACCGTTGTTGCAGTGCCGGATGCAGTCCTGCAGCACAGCCTGCCACTTGTCCTGCTCGGCTTCCGTCATCATGCAGAAGTAGTAGTGACGCGCATAAGGGTGCCAGAGGATGAGCGGGAACTGCGTGGGGCACTTGAGGATGGGGGCGCTGCCTGATTTTGACGTGGTCCCTGCGGAGACAGCGTCTGCTGAGCAGCCCCCAGTGGGGTTCCCTCGGCCAGAGGATGGCAGGACACTGCGCCCTCCGCCCTGGCCCAGAGAAGGCTGGCCTGCCCTGGGGTGACCAGCAAGCCAGGGGGTGGCGGCAGCCTCCTTTCTCTTTCTGGCGGCTGCGTCCTCCACAGCCTGGCTAAAAGAACCTCGGAATCCGGCGCCTGCGTAGACCCCTTTCTTAGAGCCGGCAGGAAGTCGCACCCGCCTCCCTCCTAAATTCAGCGCGTGGGGCTGGAGGACCACAGGTCGCAGCCCTCAGGTCCAAGGGCCGAATGGGGCCTTCTTGGGTTTCCCCCCCATTCCAGCCGCAGGGGCCAAAGTGGGGCTTAAATGTCCAAGGGGGAGGGAGGCACGTGGAGTGGGGGAAACATAATAGACCTAAAGGAATTTTTCTCTCTTTCTATTTTGTCCTTGCAGATATTCAAGATCCAGAGAGATGGCTGGCCCTGGGCTGTGACCCTGCCGCTGTTGTTAGTGATACGACAACAGTTCTGCTTGCCCTGGCTCTGGGTCGGCCTGTGCTGGGCCAGGTGCCGTGGGGTCAGTCCCCAAGTGCCCGCGTGTGCAGATGTGAAAGAAGCTGAGGGCCGGGAGTGGGAGGCGAGACTCGCCCGAGCAGACGCAGCAAAACAGATCCAGGGTCAGGGCTAGGATCCAGGTTCCCACTGAGTCCTCTACCCCTACAGGGCCTTTGCTCCCAACTCCCAGCTGGGACCTGCCCCCCAGTTCCCAGGGATCATCTGAGAGGCAGGTGTTGCTCCTGTAAGGCTTGGGCGGAGGCTCAACCGAGGTGAGGTGGAGGCAGGTCTCCTAGAAGACAAACTCCTCCCAAGTGCAGGGTCAACCCGCCAGTTTACAGGCAGGGTCACCAACCACCTTCTCCCAGAGGCTCTTGAGCACTCAGGGAGGTGGGAGTGTAGAGAGCAAGGACCCCCACTCCACACTGTGGACAGAAGGCTCAGGAACTGGCAGGACTCAGCTGGGGACCCACATTGGTCCAGCCCCAACCACTGCGTGGCCTTGGGCAAAGCCCCCCTCTCAGGCCCACAAGGCCTCTCCTTTGAGGATTGCGGTTGTGCTTGGCACCTGCCAAGAGTTCTATGTTTAGCTGGTCTTGCTGCAAACGAGGAGCCTAGAACAATGGGCTCAGGGCCCCCCTGCCCTGGCCGGCTCCTGGGGCCTACACAGGGCATCTTGCATGGGGTGGGCAGCCTCTTACCTGGTAAGGAGTTGCCAACGAGCTCCAGATACAGGTCCAGGGAGGTGAGGATTTTGTAGCCTGCACTGTTGATGATGGCTCGGGGTGGGACCTGCCGCTCATAGGCCTGCAGGGGCAAGAGAGATGGTCCCTGAGGTTAAGCGTGTGGCCAAGCCCAGATCCCATCTCCAACTCTGGCTCCAGGGCCCTACTCAGTGTTGCTGCCCAAGGTGGGGAGGGGGAGGAGCAGGACGAGGAGGCATTAGAGGAACAGAGGGAAGAGGAAGTCAGACTGTCACAGCGACAAGCAACAACATGGTGCAGCAACCTAGACCCGGGCTCTGGGCTCAATTCCTGGCTCCACTGAGTGGCATCTGTGTGAAGCTGAGAACGAGCTTGTTTGACCTCTTGTGCTCCAGTTCATCTAGAAAACCAGAGTAGCGCCTGTTCCTACCCCACTGAGCTGCGTGAGGACTGAGGGAGAGAACCCATGGTGCCTGGCGAGGGGACTGCTGTCATCACTAGCACTGCTGTCGCCTCTGTCACCCACAGCTCTGCTAGTGGAGTGTTGGTGACACATTGGGCACTGTGCTAAGTTCCCACAATCCAAACAGGTGGATTAGCCACAAGTCCACACAGCTGGGAACTAGCAGACCTAGGCCATGAACCAGGGATAGCTGCCTCCAGAGCCCAGGGTCTTTGACCATTACCCTGGACTTCCCACCAACCTCTTAGGTTCTGAGAGTCACACGAGTGTCCTCTGGGAGAGGATTAGGCCTAGACTCAGCTTTCTTACATCAGTTGGGGGAAAGCAGTTCTGATGTAATAGCTCATACAGCAGGGCTGCCATGCAGCTGCCTGCCACTAGGTGTCACTAGTCAACACTCCTGAGAGTGGCTCAGAACCTCTATGGCAATAATTTGCAAACCTTGGTCCTTGATTGTCAACATCACCCTAGAACTTGTTAGAAATGCAAATTCTCGGCCCCACCTCAGACCTGAATCAAACTCTGGGGTTAGGCCCTGCAACTGTTTTGCAACAAGCCCTCCAGGCGATTCCGATGCATGCTACTCCTCTGGGAATGAGGTCACCCGATTTATGTGGCTCTAACACTGATCTGCCTTGAACCAGAGGGACCAGGCCTGTCCTTTTGGCTGCTCTGGAGAAATGTTTAGTAAAAGAGATCAGGTTAGTGGCTCAACCAGGAGGAGCATCCATCCCCAAGAGCCCAAAGCAAAGATAAGGCACAAAAAGCTGCCATCCCTTCCAGACGTGCAGGGCGGGAAGTGGCCAGACTGTTCTCAGCAGCTCACTGGCCGTCAGAGCCACGACGGGAGGGGTCCGAGAACAGGCAGGAAGCCAGGCGGGGAAGGAGGCTGGGGTGGGAGGAGGGACTGGGGGGCAGGGCCCTGGAGATGGAGGGACATGGGGACTTGAGAGTGATCAGGAGGGGGAGGAGCTACTGACGGTTATAAGGGAGTCAGGGGTGCCCCCCAGAGACCAGAGTGAACTGCCACTCAGAAGGAACCCGGGGAGCAGGCAGTTCAAGCAAATGAGGGGTGGCTGAGGTTGTGCTCTGGTGCTGTCAACAGTGTGGGGTGACACCGGTGGCGGGCTGTGACTCGGTCCGGCACCACAGGTTTAGGAGTGGAGGTGTGTGGAGAAGAACGTGTGGTGGCCCGGGAGGAGTGGGTGGCGGCTGGAGGGAGCCTTACCACTTTGTTGTCGTACAGCACCAGCCCGTAGTTGTGTGGCACGAGGCTGAAGCGGTTCCGCCACTTCTTGCTGTCCTCCTGGTACTGGAAGAGGTTCCCCGAGAAGATGACACGCTCATCCAGCGGCACCTGAGGGTAACGGGGTGGGGAGTGAGGCCCGGTCTCCCCCTCTGCCCAGGTGGGGAATGGGGTCCCCCAAGAAGGTGACTGCACCTCAGCAGAGCTGAGCACAACCTGGCCCATTTGGCAGACACAAGCGAGGCTAGGGGCAGGAAGGGGGCGGTGAAGGGGCTCGCCAGGGCCTCCCACCCCGCCCTGGCCAAGCACAGCCACCCACCCCAGGCTGGGTCTGGGGGGCAGGCAGCCCCCCACCTACCCCCACCTGCTGCAGCCAGTGTGCAGGGCAGTTAGTCCAGCTGCGGGGGACACACCCACAGGCCAGGACTGTGACAGCCCCAGTGCCTGGGCAAGTCTCTCCCCAGCTGTAGGCCTCAGTTTCCCCTCAGGGCAACAAAAACTTGAACAAGGTGGCTCCAGAGAGCTCCAGCTCCAACAGCTGACAAGATGGCCTCCCTGAGTCTGGGTAGGGCTGGAGGTGGCCTCAGTCTGGGGTGTTTGATGTCTGACCTGCGTCCTGGCAGACTGGTGGTCACGTGTGTGGGCTGCAGAAATGCCCAGACCTTCCTACAAAGCCCTATCTCTGCCTGATGCACAGTGTGACTTTTAGCATTTGTTTGAGCCTCAGTTTCCTCATCTGTAAAATGGGGACGATGATAGCTGGCACCTGACAGGCAGCAGGTGCACAATACACGGGAGCCACTGTGACCACAATGAGCACCGAGTCTATGTGACAGTCTACCAGCCCCATGGATGGACTGACTTGGGGATGGGCTCCTAGCACTTGCACCGCGGGTAAGAGCCCCAGCTGAAGCTATAGCCATCCAGGTATGAGCACTTTCTGAGCAGACAAGCACCAGGAAGCTTCTAGAAGGGAGATATAGAAGCCACAGTGGAAGAGGCTTCGTCCTGGATGGGAGGAAGTCAGGAGGGTCTGGTGTTCCTCTCTGTTTCTTAGCAAATATCTGTTTGTTCTATGATAAATATGATGCCCTTTGTAAAAAGAAACACTTATATGCCATAATGAGGAAAAGTATTATTTTAATTGTGCACACACCTCCCCGGCTTCTGCGCTCCGTGGTCCCAGCCCTGTCTCATCTGACCCTGGCACCCGTCCCCACCTCCCCCCTCCCCAGCTCCTCAGCTCCCTCCCTGCTGCCCTTCAAGGGGAAACAAAGCACTCTTGGAAGAGGAGGGCCCATTGTGCTCAGACAATAGGACCTGCAGACGGCTTCCTCCGGGATAAAAATATTCTCAGGAAAAGAAAATGGTTCTCCCGACCCCCCCCCCCACGCACACCACACCCCGCACGCAGTGCCAAACCACAAAGCTGCCCTTGGCGTCCACATTCAGTGGCCCATATTCAGGCCTCCTAAGCCCGGCTCTCAAATCCCTGAGTCCCTGTCTTTTCTAGAAAGAAAGAGCAGACAGGGCTCTCCTACCAGAGCTGGGCTGCGTCCTCCTCCCTGGGGAGGCGCCCCGGGGCCTAGGGATGGACCAAGGGACAGGGCTGAGGGAGCCCCACCACCACCACGCAGATCCTGGGGCAGCTCTCCCTGAGGGTTTGGGTTTTATTTTTAAGACTTTCAAATGGCAGAGTCGTGTTTCAGCTGGGAGGCCTGCGGGGAGTGGAGCGGAACTCACACGCGGAATATTTCAGACTCAGCAAAGCTCGCGGAGGCCGCGATCAGCCTTGGCTCCAGCCTCGCGCCGCCACCCACCACGGGAGCCCGGACAAGCGCCGCCACCTCTCAGAGCCTCAGTGTCCCCCGTCTGTGCTGTGGGCACCGTCTCAGCCCCTCCCTCAGACAGGGGGTCAAGTGGGCACAGGACACCTGCTGTTCTCCATTCTTATTATCTCTGTTTTTATTGTTATTACTATTTTATCCTTGTTACTATTTTCACTTTATTGCTTCTAATAAAAACAACTGCTAAAAAGAAAACAAACAAAAAAAAACAACTGCTAGCACTCTGAGAGGCCGAGGCGGGAGGATCGCTCAAGGTCAGGAGTTCGAAACCAGCCCGAGCAAGAGCAAGAGCAAGAGCAAGACCCCGTCTCTACTAAAAATAGAAATAAATTAATTGGCCAACCAAAAATATATAGAAAAAATTAGCCAGGTATGGTGGCGCATGCCTGTAGTCCCAGCTACTCGGGAGGCTGAGGCAGCAGGATTGCTTGAGCCCAGGAGATTGAGGTTGCTGTGAGCTAGGCTGATCCCGTGGCACTCACTCTAGCCTGGGCAACGGAGTGAGACTCTATCTCAAAAAAAAACCAAAAAAACAAAAAAAAACTGCTGTTATGATGAGGCTGGTGATTAATCTTGCTATTTCTATTACGATGATGCTATTGCCACGACTTGACGCTGGAAAGATCAGTCTCCTGAGTGGCACGATGGGGCCGAATCCTGCTTTTCAGGGACTGTGGGTTTCATTTCTCTCTCCTTGCTCACATGCCACTCCCACCTTCCCCACGACTGGCATGCGCACTCGTGAATGGAAAGCTGGGTCTCACGCCTGACAAATGCCTGGTGCCGTCGGCCCGTCCCCACTGTCTTGGATTGATGGGCCCCGGGCTGCCTGTGACACTTCTTTCCAGATGGGGACCCGTTCTGGCCCTGCTCGCCCAAGGCCTCCCTTCCTTTCCTACCACACAGGTGTCACCTGCCAGACACCCAGGCTAGGCCACATCCAGGCACCTCTGCCCCTCTGCTGTCACCGGGTCGAGACAATGCCATGAGGCCAGGGGAAGAGTCTTTCCTGGGTCCCAAAGCAAAGGGGGGTGTGATGCTCTGAGAGGCTCCGGCACTGTCCTGACCTCCCCCCGCCTGGGCAGGCTGTGGTCCCTGCAGAAAGGGCCCTGCTGGCAGACATAGGAAGCCTGGCTCCGGTCCCACCTCTGCCATCCTGGACAAGCCATTGGAAGGCTCAGCTCTGGGACTTTGCACTTGCCATTCCCTCGGCCTGATAGTCTTTTCCCAGCAACCTCTTCCTCTACTGTCAGGTCCTCAGCCAAGATGGCCCTTCTTCCGGGAAGCCCTCGGGGGCCACCCAGAGCAGGTCTGGCCTCCACTGTCAGCATTCGCCTTGTCACATTCGTGGCTCCCACTTTATTTTGTGAATGGCGGTAGACTGTCTCCCTGAGCATGTGCGGGGCCAGCGAGGGCGGTGTGGCCCCAGCACCCGACCCGACTAGTTGGTAACGCTCCTCCAGAAAGACTTCGGGCCTCCTTCCAGCCTGTGGGCTCTCCCACTGCCAGAGCCCCAGCTGCTCCTCCAGCTGGGAGGACACCAGAGGGGAACAGATCCCCAAAGCCAGGTCAGGTGACCGCCAGCTCTGCAGAGAGCTGCTCGGATTCCTGCCCCTCCCATCTCATGGTAATGAGGCCCATTTTCAGTCATTTGCTTTGGGGGAGGGGAGTGAACCGAGCCCAGACCTCCCAGTCTGGGGCCCCCTCGGCTTCTCTCTGCTTGGCCGCTGGTCCCAGCCATGCCCCCGTTCTGCCCACACCTGTCCCCTCCCTGCGTGGCCTTCCCAATAATCCGAATCCCGTCTGGCCTTCAGAGCCCCATGAAGCCCCCGCCCCCCACAAAAGCTGCTCTGACCTCTCTGGCCCATGATGACTCTCCTCTCTAAAAGCCACTTTACAACCAGAGAAACTGAGGCTCAGCAAAGGGACACCGAGTGTCTGAGGTCACCCAGCAAATCAGGATTCAAACCCCTTAGTAATTCCACCTGCTTCCCCCTCTCACGCCACTTACTCGCTTACCAGATCCTGCCAAAGCCCTGTGCAGGGGGAACCCATTAGCCAGATGAGGAGACTGAGCCTGGGGGGGGGTGAATCAACTGCCCCAGCCACCAGCTAGTGACAGCATCTGGACCCAGGTCCTCCGTAGGGCTCTGTCCCTCCTGGGTGGCACTGCCCCAGCATCCCGCTGGCCGAGCACAGGGTGACTTGGGCAGCCAGGAGAGCGAGGACAACTCCACGGCCCACCAGCCACGGAAATCCAGCCACTAATGACCTGAGCACCAGGCACTGGGGTCCCCCCGCAGACCTGGCTCGTCCCCCACTTCTAGGGAGAATTGGCTCAGCCAGTCAGATCCCCGGAGGGAAGGCCATGGGTGCTCTGCACAGTGGCCACCAGCCAGGAGCCAGAAGCCCCTGGGCCACCACTCAGCCACAGCAGAGCCAGGCTCCCTTCCTCATCACCCTTTCCTCTGCCCCTGGCCATCCAGGGGGCAGAAGCTGAAGGTCACTGAAAGGGAACGACCCCAGCCCTGGGACATACGGTGCCCTCAAACAGGACATCCCCAGGCTGACACAGAGGCCCCTGCACCATCCCCAGGGGCGCAGGGCTGGCCTCTCACCCTGAGCGCTCGGCCGGGGACACAGAGCCACCCTGTGCTCCCAATATCCCCCGCCCTCCTCCCCAGCCCCATGCCGAGTCAATCACAGGGTCCCCCCAGAAGGCTTTGCTTGCCTCCCCGGCCCACATGGGCCCTTGGCCTGGACCCAGACAGCTTCCAATCACCCTGGACAGGTGGTCCTACTACTAACAGCGGGATTAGGACAAGGCCGGTGACAGCACCTTCCCCACTCCTGGCACCACAACCAACCCGCCATCCCCCATGAAGGAGGTATCCTCATCCCATTTGGCAGATGAGTAAACTGAGGCTCTTGGAGGAGGACCTTGCCTTGAACCCCCAGAGCCCCACTCCGAGGGCGAAGGGGCTGAGCTGGAGGGAGCCACCTACGGCGAATGAGGGGGCCTTGACACCCGACCCTGGCTATCCGCCTATTCAGAAGCGGCCCGCTAGGGACTACCACGGCAACAATGGGAAACTGAGGCCCAGAGTAATGGAGGCCCTCGCCCGGGCCACGTGGCAAGGGGGTGGCTGGCAGAGCCGGCCCCGACCCTCAGCGCCCCTCACCTTGCGCCAGAGCAGCTGGGCCTGCGGCAGCCCCGTGCCCTCGATCTCGTGGCGCATGCTGCTGAACAGAGCCACGCCATACTGGTCTTCGTAGAAGCGCAGGAACTCCCGCAGGATCTTCCCGGTTTTCTCTGCAAGGGAAGGACAGAGTGTGAGGTCCCCGTGGGTGCGACGCCCAGCGAGCGCCCCAGGCAGGACGTCGGCAAAGCCCCAACCCCCTGCACGTGTGACCGTGTGCAGGGGCTCCTCGCCCTCGCGCTGCGTCTGGGTGGAGTCGTGCACTCCCTGCAGAAGCAGCCACCCAGGCAAAGGGTGAGCCCCGCGTGAGAATCCGGAGGGGAAGCGCCCTGTGCACGGGCAACGGCGGGAGGTGGCTGAATGGGCACCTCTGGGGAAAGGTCAGTGCGCAGCGCTTCACCCGGACTAAGAAGAGGGACAGGACCCACCTGGGGCCGGGAAGGCCCCAGCACGGAGCCGCGTGCAGAGCAAGCTGCAGAATCAGCTGCTGCCCCTCGGCCACTGAGAAACGATCCCCACCTGTGTGTGAACCATGACCGCTGGGCGCCCAGGAGAAGGGCAGGGAGGGCAGGACCTCGGGGCGAGGGGGGTGCAGAGTGAGCTGTTTGCTGCTCACCCCGTTCCTGATTTTGCAATCAGGATTCCTCTCGTAATAAAAAACAAGCAGTCTAAAATCAACTCGCCGGCCACGTTAACAGCCTTTTGGCTCTCCCTGGCCGTTTGCCGCTCCCTGCTGCTAAGTGGATTTCGAACAGAAAAGGTTGAGTCCTGGGCCTCCAACCCAGCCCAGCACCACGGGCCCACGTGGCGGCCTGGGCCTCCCTGCATGCAGATGCAGAAACTGAGGCCCGGAGAGGGTCGCGCCCTGTGATGAGGGAAGAGGTTTCCTGGTCCAGACCTGGGGTTTCCGCACCGTGCAGCGCCCCTCTCTGGGCCTCAGCTTCCCCCGTGCGCTGCCAGGGCTGGATGCGATGCTGCACAGGCCCTGCCACCTGTCCACCTGGACAGCGGACTCCAAAGACCTGGTCTTTCTCAGAGGAGACGGGGCTGACGGGACCTGGCCCTGCTGTGGCCAAAGGTGCCTGGCTAGGACGGCATTTCATTTCATCCTCACAGAGATATCAAGAGGATGAAATGCCGTGGAATGCAATAGCTCTGTGAGGTAGACCCCGTTATCCCCCCTTTACAGAGGAGGAAGCTGAGGCCCAGAGAGGTTAAGTCGCTAGCACAAGGTCACACAGCTAGAGGGTGGTGGAGCTGGGATACAGTCCTGCGGCCCACCCCCGGTGGCAGGGCTGAGAGCACATGCCACCTCCCACGTCCCACAGCTCATACCCAGGGGCTCAGCCTAACCTGACCCTCCCGAGGTCTGCCCGCACCCCAACCCCGCCTCGGTGACAGTGGGGGGCACACCCTCTGCAGGCAGCACGGCCCACCAACCCCGCTCCACAGACCCGTCCCTGCCTGGGTGCCCCTTTCCTGGAATGAGCTCATGTCTGTCCGGATTCCAGTTTGGGGGAGGAAGGGGAGAACAAATGAGGAATTTGCTTTGAATGCCTATTTTTTAAAAGCCATAAACAACCAGAACCTCTAAGGGACCGTGGGAGTTGTTCTGAGAAACGATGAGGCAGAGGAGGGGTACGGGGGAGACAGCGCCATGACCTGGGGACACAGAAGACACAGGATGGCAGCTGGCAGTGGCACCTGCCAACAATCAGGCATCTCCGTCGTCACAGCTGCCCTGAGTCGTGTCAACCCCTGGTCGCAAAAGCTGTACACTCGTGAGCCCAAAGAACCTTCGTGAAAACCCTGGGGGTTGGTGCCACTGTTTTCCTATTTCAGGGATGAGGAGGCTCATGGACCCAGGGTTCCCAGCCGGGCTCCGTCCCGACCCCACGCCGCCGAGCACACAGTGGGCATTATTCGATTAACGATATGAAGTACGGCGTGTCTGATTCCTTAAGTACTGAGTTTGACAGTTGCTATCTCTGACATTTCACTTTGACACCTCTTGTTTTACATTTATCGTGAGGGTACATCCTCAGTCTTTCAAACACATGGTTTGGCTTGTGATCATCTTTCAAAGTATTTTTTAGAGCAATTTTTGTGAAACCATGGATAAGTAAAAAATTCATGTTATTTTTTAATATGAGTTCTGTTGTGGAACCAATGCAGCACAGATAGCTCAAAATATCAACAAAGTGTTTGGGAAGGATGTGGCTGATGAACGCACAGTACACTGATGGTTTGAGAAGTTCTGTTCTGGTGATTTTAATCTTGAAGATGAGCCACGTGGGCGACCTGAGGCCAAGGTGGACAATGATGAGCTGAAAGCTGTAGCGGAAGCGAATCCATCTCGACCCACGAGTTTGACGTTACCATTCCAACAATATTGGACCATTGGAAACAAATGGGCAAGGTAAAGAACCTGGATAGGTGGGTTCCACGTGAATTAAATGAGCATTAGCAGAGAAATCACCTTGAAGCTTGCCTTTCTTTGCTGTCACGACATAAAGGTGAACCATTTCTACATTGTATTGTGATGTGTGATGAAAATGGATTCTTTTTGACAATCAAGCATTTGGCACAATGGTTGGATAAAGAGGAAAAGTGCCAAAACACAGTCTAAAACTGAATATTTATCAAAAAAAGCGAATGGTGTCTGTGTGGGTGTCTAGCGCTGATACTGTCCACTGCAGCTTCATGAAACCTGGTCAATTGATTGCAGCGGATGTTTACTGCAGCCAATTGCATGCAGTGAGGAGGATGCTTGAGATCAAACATCTGAGACTGGTCAACAGAGGCAGGCCAATCCTCTTACAAGACAACATTCGACCACATGTTGCACAAACAACGCTGCTCAAACTACAGAGACTGGACTTGGAAACTCTGCCACCCACCGTATTCCCAGACCTTGCACCAACTGACCACCATGTCTTCCAGGCTTTGGACCACTTCTTGCAAAGAAAACTACTCGATACTGAACAAGCAGTGGGAAATGCCTTTCGAGATTTCATCACCACTCACTCTCCAGGCTTCTTCGCTACTGGGATAAACAAGCTACTGTTACGATGGCAAACTCTGTCGATAGTTTCAGTGCATACTTTGATTAACTGTACTGCTTCTTGTTAGAGACAAAATAAACCACACTTTTTATTAAAAAATGAGACATTTCATATTTAACTACCTAAATATCGATATGGCAGCAGGATAGGCAACCCTGGGGCTATAGGTCTTGAGGGTCCTTTGGCCATGACTCTGGGGGGGCCCTGATATGCCCAGGACATTATTTCCCGAATGGCTGGAATCTGCCGCCCTGACCCTTGGGGACCCCCAGGGAGCGCACCAGAGTGAGGACTCAGCCCACAGCTGCCCTGCACAGCCCAGCAGTCCGGGAGTTGAGTCCAGGCGGGAAGCAGGGGGGCTTGCAAGGACCCCCGGGCTGGGCTGGGGAGGGCACAGCAGGGGCAAGGCCAAGCCAGGAGCAGGCCAACACATCCCGCTGAGGCAGGGAGGGCTGTGGGCCGGAGAGGAAGACTTCTGATGCCCTGAGGAAGCGACAAGCAGGAGATCGAGGGGCCCCTCACCACCCAGCCCTGCTCCCTGAGCTCGGAGCCAAGGGGGTGCAGGGGACGCTAGCACTTGTCTCAGGTGGCCAAGGCTGCAGGCTGGGCCTGGCCCCCTTTGCTACCGCCGGACCCCAGTGCCAGGCCCGGCTCAGGCAGCTGCTCGGCAAGGGGAGGGAGAGTTGGGGGGCCGTCCTGGGTCCAGTCACCAAATAGTCACTGAGTCAGAACGAAGAAAGGCCGCAGGGCAGGGCGGGCGTCAGGACGCTGCAGGAGCAGGGGGTGGGGGGACAACAGCTCTCTGCAAGGGGTTAAGGACTGAAAGGACGGTGCCCAGACGGCAGCAGGGAGCCGGCTCTGCCCGGGAGAGCTGGACCGGGAAGACTGTGGGGAACGGCCACGGCTGGCTTCTTGGCAGACGCAGCGCCGAGCACATTCTTGAGAGATGTTCTAAGCCAGCTTGGGAGGAAGCGCCACATGCTCGCTACAAAGGAATTATCCAGAAACCCAGGGATGTGGACTCGGCCGCTAGGGGCCAAGGTGTGGGGGCCAGAGGGACCCAGAAGGCCGGGAGCACTTGGAGGGTGTCCGGCCTGGACAGAGGGCCATGGGGGAGAGGCCGGGACAGAGTCTCACGGAGCCTCTGGCCAGACCCTGCTGGAAGAGGACCCAGGTGGGCACCGCCGCCCTGGGGAAGCCTCAACCAGAGGGCCTGGCCGTGCCCCTGCCCGCTGAGCTCTGGGGCCACAACCCAGGCAGGCCCCCCCCCCTGCAAATGCAGCTCAGCACCCCACAGTTCCCTTCCTGCGGGACTGTGGCGCCCCTGCCTGGCTGTCTGTGGGTGGTCCTGGGGCCTCCGCACCCCTCTCTCCTCCGCCCGGCCCACACCAGCTCTTCCTGTTTCCTTGGCAGCCTCCAAGAGACTCGGAGACTCGTGGATTGGGGCAGGGCCTCAGAAGCCACGGCTCACGCGCTGTGGGGGAAGCTGCGCCAGAGAGGGTGCAGGCTCACAGGGGCTCACCAGGCGGCTGACACCCTCCTGGTCCTGGCTCTACCACTGTCGCAGGGCCACGTGGGACATCCCTCCCCCAGATGACAGAAAGCAACAGGCCATGGCCCTGGGCGGCCCCAGCAGGTGTAGTTGCGCTGGGGCTGGGGTCTGAGGGTGTGCGTGGTGGCCACCGCCTGCCACATTCTCTCGTCCTCCTACCTCCCTGCCTCCCCAGGCTGACTCAGCCCCAGGTGCTGCTGGATGAGAAGGCATGTGTGTGTGTGGGGGTGGCTTGGAGCCACCTGCAGCCCCAGCACCAGCTCCTGGCGAGGAGCACAGGGTGGGGCTGGAGTCCCAACTCTGCCAGATGCCGGCCCTGCCAGCTGCCCGGCTCTCCCAGAGCCTCAGTTCCTCATCTGTGAAATAGGTCTAACAGAACCCAGCACCATGCTCTGCAGGTATGGAGAGCCGCTCAGTGCTCAGCTTGGGCCTCTGTAAACATCACTATTAATCATAATAGTGCTCAGCTTATAACAACAGTGGCAAGAGACTGTTT